CCCCGAACCCCAAATCAAGCCGATACAGCTACTGCAGGTGCTGATGCTACGGGCTGCTCTTCAACCTCTGCATACTTCGTTCTCAACCCTTCAACAGCCCGTTCACCAAGTGCCATCATGTTCTCAGCTCCAACCATCTGTAGCATGGTAATGTCGAAGCCAAATGTTGTCTTCCACCATCTCCGCATCTCCATAGCGACCAAGCTATCTATACCAGAATCCCGCAACGGGCCCGATATATCCACCTCACTATCTTTCCTATCATCAAGCGGTCGGAGAAGCATGAGCGCGATTTTTCTTGCTATTTGTCGCGCGAGGAAAATTGGGCTATCGGGCTGGTCAAGGATCTTTGGCTCGGCGAGAGCCTGCTTCATGAAAGCTCTAATGGCCTGAGTGGGCTTATCGCTGTCAGAGGTCGCACCTGAAGTTGCGTTCAAATCCAAGCCGAGGTTGTGGTAATATGCCATTCGCCGGTCGTCCTTCCATATCACGCGGTTTGCAGGATCAGATAATGGTAGACTGCTACGGACACCAATAGCCAACACAGACGTACATGTCCGCGATGCGCCTTTCTCAGGCTTGACTCTAGAGGTGCTAAGGACGAGCGTGATGGCATCTAGGAGTTGTGGTATTCTGATGCCATAAGACCCAAGCAACTGCAACCGCTCCGCTATAAGCGGATTTTCAGCGACATATCCGTGGTCGTGCATGCTGCCAATGTCGATAGCAGAAGCTTTCAACCCCAGAGAATGCCGATAAAGCACAAATGTGTCCAGAAATGTGTTCGCTGCTGCATAGTTTGCTTGGCCAAAATTGCCAATCACACCCGAGATCGAGCTGAACAGAAGGAAGAAGTCAAGGCTTATCTCTCTAGACAAGCAAATGTTGTGCATGTTCCATGTACCGTTGATTTTCGACTCGTTCACTGAGCTCCATGCCTCGTGGGTCATCTCGTGGAATCCCATATCTTGCAATTGCATGCAGATGTTCATCACACCACGCAGTGGGGCAGTTGCAGCAGCAACAGCTCTCTCTACATCTTTGACTATAGCGACGCTTCCTTTTACGGCCGTCACTTTGCACCCTTGGAATTCAAGTTCTTCAAAAAATGCTTTGTCGGTATCTCTTTCGCCTGCATTTCGAGAAAGAAATATGAGGTGTCGTGCGCCGTTCTCGACCATCCAATTGGCCACGATACGACCTAGCCCGCCAAGGCCACCGGCAAGCAAGTAAGATGCTTGAGGGTTGAAAGCAGGGCTGCGCTTGATATGTGTCGTGACTAGGTCTTTTGATCTGGTTGCTTCATGCGTGGAACCACCTACAGATAGGATAATCTTGCCGATATGTCGCCCCTGTTGCATGTACCTGAAGCATTGCTCGACTTCGGATGCCTTGAAAGTTTTCACGGGGAAGATTGGTTTTATATGACCTGCTTCGTAAAGGGCCATGGTTCTTTCCAAAAGCCTTCGACACTCTGCCGGTCGAGATTCGATAAGATGAGCCAGATCGATGCCATGAAAGCTGCGATTCAGAACAAATGGATTCAGAGAGACGCGGCCGTTGCCTAACAAATCTCTTTTCCCAATCTCAATCATTTTGCCAAACTCCGCTACACATTCCCAGGACGCGTGTAAAAGCTCACCAGAAAGAGAGTTGAGCACAAGGTCCACTCCGGCACCATTGGTAGCGCACATGACATCATCCACGAAGGATCTGTTGCGGGAATTGAATATATGAGCACGCGGGATCTTGAAATCATTCTCCAAGAACTGGATCTTCTCTTCGTTACTGACTGTGCAGTATATCGTTGCTCCGGCCATGCGACACAGTTGAATGGCTGCAAGACCAACTCCACCACATGCAGAGTGAATCAGAACAGTATGACCACTGTGCATTTGGCCATACTCCAACAATCCATGTATGGCTGTCATAAAAACACATGGCATGGTTGCGGCCTCTTCAAAGGAAAGAGAGTGGGGTAGTTTCCAGCAACTGGTACTAGGTACGATCGCGGTTGTCCTGAACAAACTTGTGCCACTGACAACCACGACACGATCCCCTTTTTCGAGATGTTCGACCCCTAATCCAATCTCTTGAACTATTCCTGCCGCTTCCAATCCGAGGACCTGGCGCGGTGCTTCGATGAGATCCATAGCGGTCAGCAAATCCTGTAGCGGTTAGCTATATGTACGACTCTAGGGACTGCGTGTAGATGCCTATGAGTCTTACCCTAAAATTGAGTCCTGTAGCCACTATTTCAATTGCAACCTCATTCTCTCGTGGTTTTTCGTAAGAACACGTGGTCCATTGGAGCGTGTCAAGCCTGCCCACTGTTCCCAGTGTTAGGTTGAGTTCGCCATTATCTGTTGGAGGGAGAGTAGTCGCAGATTTTTCAGGCTTGCAAAGCTCTGAATTAACGTTCGAAGGATACAATCGCGGTATGTATATATTTCCTTCCTCAATTGAGTACTCCAGCTCCAAGTGGTGACTTGATATGTGGCGACGAGAAAACCTTTCCGCAATCTGGGCCACAGCTTTTAAATTCAGATTCGTCAGCCGGTCAAGCTCACAGATTGCTATGTCGATTCCCATATCTCTCTTGATGGTGCGCATGGCCCCAGGCGTTTGACCCCATCGAGGGTGCTCACAACTGAGCTGGGAGCTCCGAGTCAGCCAGAGAATGCCACTCTTCAATTCCGCGACTTGTGCCAGCCAGCCCCGAAATTTATCGAAACAAGAAGCTTCAATGTCGAAGAAGAAAGGCTTATCGATGTCGAGTAGACAGATTATGTCACCCTTTGGTACCACTGACTCTGCTGCGTCCCAGTGCTGGACCACTATTTCGAAATAGCCATTTTGTAATAACACAATTTTCAAATCTTCAACTATTTGCTGCGTGGAATCATCGAAAACTAATGTGGCAGGCTTGGGCAATGCTTCCTTGACTGCGGGGTAAGCTATCATGATAGCATTGTCCTGGTGTGGACGGGGAGCATCTAGCATGTAATCAGCTACTCCAGTGAAGCCTGCGGTGCGAAGCTCCCTATCCCATCTGTCAGGCTGGACATATGGCTCATCTACCCGCCCATCCTGTTCACCCATCCACCATCCGGGAAGGAGACCCATGATAAAGTTTGTGAATTTCACATCCGGACAAAGTTCTTCAAGGTAAAATGTGCCGTCTTGTCGTAATAGACTATGCACATTACATAGAGCTTGGTGGAGGTTAGGGACAGCATGTATGACGTTGACCGCGATGATGAGGTCGTAATCATGACTTTGAAATCCTTGAGTCGCAGGATCCTTTGTGATGTCCAAAATCTTGTATTCTAGGGTGTGGTCTTTGAATCTTTCCTTGGCAGCACTGAAGAACCCTGCCGAGATGTCCGTATACGTGTAACTGGACCACAGTTTACCTCCATCTGAATCATTGACCAGGTTTGAAATGAACTCTTGAGTTGTTCCTCCTGTTCCAGCCCCAATTTCAAGAATGCGCATGTTCGGTTTCCGATGTCCAAGAAGCTTCAGATATGGACCTCGATCGGTTAATTGCGCTTCCCCATATATCTTTCGCAAAGAGTCATTATCCATAAGGAAATCTATTGCAGGTACTTCCTCCGAGACCAACTTGACGATGTTGTCGGTAATACTCATAATCTCGTCCACAAGTGAAGGGTCCCACAACGATTGGACTTCGGACTTGATAGTCTCTATTGATCGCAATTTATCTGGAATGCTTTGCCGCTGCATCCAAGCCACATATCTTTCCATCGTATCCGATGCTGGTTTGATCCCTTGAAGATTCTCCAAGGCTTGTCGGATATGGTACAAAGTGTACTCTTGCAACAGCGGTGATCGTTCGGCGGCCACAGTATTATGCTTCAGAACAGTTGAAATAGCTGTCAAGCTGGGCTCTAGACACCAAGTCATTAAAGCGCCAGCGTGAAGATCCAGCTCAAGTGCTGTATCCAGAGACATGAGCTTGATCTGATCTATCTTCATCGCAAGCGCTCCATCTTGATCGATGGCACAACCCCAGCCATGGAATTTACCATGTGCTAGGACTTTTGCTGAAGTGTGCACTTGCAGGTCACCGGAGCAGTCATAGACATCTATGCGCTTGATAAAGGTTGGCACACTCATCCGGTCGCTTGCATGTCCCTGCCCGTTGCATGCAGCTGCAGCCATTGTCTGGAAAAACACATCAATTGTTGTCGGATGGATCAGATAGTGCGATTCAGAAGCATCTGGAGTCTTATCGCATATTGTAGCCTTGGCACTGTTCTTGTTCGGCGTACATTCAAGGTTCTTCAATCCTTGGAAGCACGGCCCATATCTGGCCCCGAGGTGCCACATCGCCTGGTACCATTTTTTTGGGTCGGCTCTTCGCGGAAAAGCAGTTTCAGGCACGGCTGGTGAAGAGGGTGAGGAATGGATTGCCTCGACAGAGCCTGTGCAGTGTTTTGTCCACGTAGTGCCTGAAAATGATGAGATTGTGAACTCCCATCCACTACTCTCTAAATGATCCGTGATGCGCCATCTTCTTAAAGATGTCACCATCTCCACTGGGATGTTTTCTTCCAGGATGAGTGCAACGCCAATGACCATGTTCCTCACACTGAATCCAAGAAATTTGTCGTCCTGGTCATGCAAGGATTGTCTCCGACAAGCCTCTCCAGCCATGGCAATGTATGCAGCACCTGGAAAGACTACATCACCATCAACATTATGGTCTCGTATCCAAGGAGCGTTTTCCAGCTGAAGTAAGTTTCGAAAGCTAGGCTGATCTTCGTTGTTCTCCAATACAGGGGATCCCAAAAGCTCGTGATGTGGGAACTTGGGATATCGCCAGGCCTGGATGATGCGGTTTTGAGCAATACGTGCTTTGCCGCGATACCAAGGATACGTTGGCATATCTGGAAGTACTTTTGCAGTACCAAGCGGGTTTGTCAGGCGGTGGAGATCGAATTCCAAACCATGCTGCCAGAGTGTACCTAAAGCCGCGAGGTATGTTGCATTTGCATTTTTCTCCCTATGGAGGCATGAGGCGTATGGATGAACAACAGAATTCTGTTGAAAGATTTGTCGAAGAGGCCCGGAGAGCGTGCTGTGAGGTCCCACTTCAAGAAAACAAAGATTCCGACGTGCAGCATCTTCAGACCCAGTTAAAAGGCTATTGAGAGCTTGAAGAAAAAGAACAGGTGATTCGAGGTTGCGACGGAAATACTGTGCGTCAATGCACTCAGAATCTGGCAACGACAGGCCGGTTACGGTTGAGAAAAACTCCGGGTTTGCCGAAGTACTGTTCTGAGGAACTTCGCCTTCCAGAAACGATGTCACCATTTCCTCGTACTCATTCCCAGCATTGAGCATATGATGTGAGTGGTATGCAGTACTCACTTTCAACATGCGCACAAACACTTCAGGGTTTCTGGTCTGGATAGCTTCTACAACGTTGCGTACAGCTGCCTCGTCACCCGAAATGGTGACATTTGAAGGTGAATTATTGCATGCAAGGACAACACCGTCTTGAAGAAATGTAGTCACCTCATTCCAGCTCAGACCGATTGCAGCCATTGCACCACTGCTGGTCGCAGCTTGCGATACGAGGCCCCGGTAGTAAGCGAGAACTATGGCCGCGCGACGTGATATCCTGTTTGCCGTATATGCTGCCGCTATCTCTCCTGAAGAATGGCCAAGCACAGTGTGTGGTTTGATCGCTAGACTGGCTAGGGCATCAACTAGAGCTACTTGAACCGCAGTACATACCGGCTGAGAAATGACAGCTGTGCCCAAGTTACTAGAGTCTGCGTCTTTGGCCAGTTCTTCTTGAATGCTCCAGTTAGGCGGTGTTGGTAGCTTTCTGAGCTCACGGTCCATTTCTTTGATCGAAGAGGCAAATGTACCGTTGGACTGTAAAAGTTCAATACCCATACGAGCCCAATGGGCGCCTTGCCCGGTAAATATCATAATTAGCTGCGGCGATGGGGCCCCTGCAATAGAGACACCAACATGTGAGTCGACAGACATTCCTTGGACAACAGAAAAGGCGCGATGAGCGAAATGCTCGCGTCGGCAAGCTAGTGTGTAGGACCCATGCTCGGCTTGCGTTGGATTGGACAATGCATATTCCCGAAGGCTCAGTGATTGCATCTTTAATGCTTCCGATGTGTTTGCCGTCATGAGGAACAATTTGCCAAACTGTAGAGAGTCGAGACCAGATCCCTCTCGCTCAGATTCGGATATGCCTGCGGCTACACCATAAGATGCGGCAGATTCGAGAATGAAATGAGCATTTGCACCGCCGATTCCAAAATTGTTTACAGAAACCCTCTCTAGTTTGTCTTTGGGCCAGTTGACACAATCGGTGGGAACCTTGAGGTCCTTCTCAAGGAAGGGTATCTTGGAATTCGGAGTTTCGAACTTGATATTCGGCGGTATGATGCGGTTTTCCAAAGCCAGGACTGCTTTAATGATAGAGGATATCCCCGATGCACCCTCGGAATGGCCAATATTCGGCTTGACGGACCCGATGTACACACCACCGTTTCCAAACACGTTGGCCACTGCTGTAGCCTCGATAGGATCACCCGTGGAGGTGCCCGTTGCATGGCATTCAACAAATGCGGTTCGCGTAATGTCAGACTCTGGTATCCCAGCAGTCTGATATGCTCTGCGAATCATGTCCTCTTGACTGGAAGAGCTGGGCATGCTCAAACCCGCAGTGTTCCCATCTGCATTGATAGCAGATCCACGAATAACAGCACGGATAGGATTCCCATGCTTGATAGCAGCACTTAGCGGTTTGATATAAATCAAGTTGACGCCTTCCGCACGACCATACCCATCTGCATCTGCATCAAAAGATCGAGAAGACGCGTTGGCTGAGGTGACACCTTGTTCGGACATATCAGCCATGGTGTCAGGACTCCATAACAGGCTGCTGCCGCCCACCAGAGCGGCACTGCAGTCTCCATTTCGGATCGCGACACAGGCCTCATGTAATCCCATAAGTGATGCAGAGCATCCCGTTCGTATAGTCATACTTGGACCCCTGAGGTCGTACTCGTATGATATCCGATTTGAAAGCATAAAGTCACTGCGCCCAGTGACCTTGTACATGTTCTTGTCCAAAGGGTCCTTTGTACTCATCTCTAACCAGTCGTTTCCAAATGACCCGACGTATGCCCCAATGTCTTTTCCGCGCCATTCGATCTCGCCAGCGCTTTCGAAGCACTCTCTTGCAAGCTCGAGAAGGATCTTTGTCTGGGGATCCATGCGCTCCGATTCCTGTTGCGACATACGGAACAACGAAGTGTCGAGAGCACCCACTTGAGCGCTTTCATCTAGAAAGTAGCCATATTTGGAGCTAATGTAGCCTGATTTTCCAGAAGCGGAATAAAAGGCTTCGGCGTTGAAGCGCGCCAAAGGAATGGGCGCACGAGCATCCTTCTTTTCAGTGAGAAATGTCCAGAATTGGGCGGGTGTTTTGAGCGCGCCAGGCAAGCGAAGAGCCATGCCACAAATGGCAATCGGGTCAGATCGTCTGTCCATCTTGTTGATGTAAAATATAAAAATTTATTGGTGCATGTGTGAAAACGATCTGCTTTGTGATCAGAACGGTGACTGGAGTCAGGCAAGATCACATAACCACGTTTTCAGCTGCTTTGTATTCCAACTTATGTACCTCAGTTGCATATGTGCCTCTCTTCGCAACTGCAACCTAGTTTTCTTATTCTCCTTACTTAGCGTACGTAGTTGCAAGCGAACATGGCGCTGGATGTCAAACTGCGATAAAAAAAGCATTCATATGCATGAAGGGTTCATTCCAACGAACCTCAGGGGAGCGCTTCTCTCGCTGCATAAGGAAAAAGAATTAACTATGTAATTACATGCCCTGCATGCATGGTATTCTCCTCGCAAAGGATCCAAAACTGTGGTTGCAGCTTCGTAAATACCACTCAATGACTTGCTTGACAGCTGATTTTTTGACCGTCGTCTCCTATAGACATGAACGCTAAAAAGTAGCTTCCGGGTCAGCAGGAACGCCCGTATGTGTTGTTTTTTTAGTTTTCATTTACACGCAGGGCGAACATCCCATCTTATCGGCGTCGCTTCTAGTCCGAAACCGTGCCTAAGTCTGGCGGTGAGAACCACGGCTTTTACCCCGCTCGCCTCTTCCATTCCCGATTCAAAGTTCCAAGGAAAACCGTTGTCAAGAGTCCCAGATCTGTGCTAGTAGTGTGTATCGCAACGTAACCTCCTGACCCCACTCTGTTTTTACTTAGTGGCCGATGAGAGAATGTTGAGAAAAATAATTGCTTTGTCCACTGCCGATCGGTACTGCGCGCCCTGCATATCCTTTCACTCAGCAATCTCATAAGCATCTATTCCGGAGATAATTATGCAATGGGAGTTGACACAGGCACAAATCGCCCGGGACAAATCGATTGCATGTGTCCATGAGTATAGGATGGCTACTGCATTTCATATCAAAAATCACCACACGTGCATTAGGTAAATCGGCCGAGAATGAAAGCTGAGCGATGATTTAAGCATCTTGCGTACTATTGTAGATTTGGAATACTTCCACGAAGGACTCTTTTTTTCAACAGCAAGTATACTAGTTTCCCCAGTCGATAACCAAGCCAGGTGGATCGGTATCACTTACTTGGAATATTCATCTTAAACTTTTGACCTTAGAGCAAAATGGTACCGGCATAGGGTATGTCATTTGAGACGGGTTGATCGAACTATGCGTTGGACGAATTTCAATATTTGAACTACCCTGGTTGAGATGCGCAGATTTGATGGCTTGATCGCCCCGACAATCCAACAAAGCTTGGACACATAGCCAATTAGGAAATTTGAATAAAAACTTATTAGCATGCTATCTCTGCGCAAAGTAGAATTCCGTTGCCCATCGTCCCAACACAGCCCAAATATCTCAAAGCCTGCAGTTTCAACGAGAACATGGAGAAAACACCTGCGACTCAAGGGGTGCTAAAAGGGTTCACACTAATCGAGCCCAGAAAATATGGCGGCCGCGACAGACGGAATTTGATCGCTGCCTTCGGTAGTCTTTGCATCGTCATGCTGATGGTCGCTCTTGACGCTACATCCCTAGCAGTTGCATTGCCCGTAAGCTTTACTAATCCGAGCCATCACTGTCTCTGAATGTTGTCATACTAGTAGCTAACGAAGAACAAGGTGATTACAAAAGCTCTTAATGGCTCCGCTGTGGAGGGCTTTTGGAGCGGCACGTCGTTTCTTCTCGCATCTACTGTATTTCAGCCAATACTGGGGTCTTTTTCAAATGTCTTTGGAAGAAAACCGCTTATTAATGTTAGCCTGACCCTTTTCTTAATGGGCTCCGTCGTTATTGCGGTTGCCACAAATTTCACAGTTGTACTAGTAGGAAGGACCATCCAAGGTGCAGGCGGAGGTGGTATCCTGTGCCTGACGGCCTTGATAATCGTTGACAAGATTCCTCTGAAAGAACGTGGAAAATGGTTCAGCTCGATCGGAGCCATGTGGTCGATCGGCACCGTAACAGGTCCTTTACTTGGTAGGTTGGCGATCCTTACGAACCTAGTATGCCATTAACATTGCGAAATACAGGAGGGGGCTTAGCCAAAGAAGCCTTGTGGCGCTGGATTTTCTGGATCAACATTCCATTCATCTGTATTGGCGGGATATCCATCGCAATATTTTTGAAGTTCGACAAGACCAATGTGGCTCTCGTCGCAAAAATGGAAGAGTTAGACTGGGTCGGAATGAGTCTCTTCCTTGCATCGATAACGGGATTTCTTATCCCCATCACGCGAGGTGGTGTCGAATGCCCCTGGAACTCATGGCGTACGCTTGTACCACTCTTCCTCTGCATTGCTGGACTGATGGTGTTTGCCTTACACCAGGAGTACGTGGCCAAAAACCCATTCATTCCTATTGGCCTCTTCAAAAATCGGTCTGCAGCAATCATTTACGTGCAAACAGTCATATACGGAATCATTCTATCGATGGGCATGTTTTACCTTCCACTCTATTTCGAGGCAGCAAAGGACATGTCACCTGTTATGGCAGGTGTTTCCTTGTTCCCATGGACCTTTACGCTGGCTCCAGCTGCAATGGTATTTCCCTCAATACTCTATATATCAACACAGTGATTTAATAACAGTACAGGTTGTCGGAATAGCTGTATCAAAGACGGGGGCGTACCGATGGGCGATTTGGCTAGGGTGGTGCCTTGTGACGTTCAGCATGAGCCTCCTTGTACTGCTCAAATCTGACACACCAACGGCCGCGTGGGTATCAATAAGTCTCGTTGGTGGTATTGGACTTGGTGCGCTCTATCCGGCAATGATTCTCGGTGTTCAAGCCTCTTCAACGGTGGAAAATCAAGCCCCTGCAACAAACATGTTCACATTTTCCAGAGCTCTTGGCCAAACCCTCGGCGTTGCAGTTGGTGGAGTCATGTTCCAAAATATGATTGAGAAGAGAATGTTGTCAAAGCCGCTCTTGGCTATGAAAGCCAAGGAATACTCCAAAGATGCAATAGGCTTGGTACAGATCATCAAAGCTATGCCCATGAACAATGCAAAGGAACAGCTGATCGAGAGCTTCACTTACGCACTTAGTTATATCTGGGTCGTAGCGGCAGTGATCGCAGGAATTGCACTGCTCGCGAGCATCTTCATCGAGGCGTATCAGTTGAACAATCCACTCGCGGTAGACGAGACCGCCAAAGACGACAAAAATTAAGATCTGTGGAACGGATTGCAGGCAAATCATTTCCAGAATATGTGGTTGTCGCAGTCTTCACCGCGATTCCGCTTGTCATGTTGGAAAACATGATGAATTTTCCGATTAGCTTTAATCCTTCGGATCCGACATAGCCGATGGATCGCGTAGTCGCATAGTACCACCGAAACAGAAAATTGTATCTTTGCGTGCATGCAGTTCTCCTGCAAAGTTCTACTGATGGTTTAATTCTTAATTTACATTATAAAGTAGAGACATGAGGAAAGACTCTATTTAATCTCCCAAGAGTGCTTCCAAACGCCTAAAAAATCGAGGAGACAATTCTATCTGATCATGACCCAACAAGTATACTCCGATGAAATTTATCACGGCCTGCCGGACTTGTCGGCATCTCCGAACAACCTGACGGCCATTATAACTGGCACCAACGGTCTTTCAGGCAGCCACATGCTGCGTAGACTCTGTCAGAACCCAGAGCGCTGGTCAAACATATACTGCCTAAGTCTCCATCCACCGTACGGCAAACACCCAGACCATGTTCAGCACACCGCCGTCGACCTGCTTCAGTCTCCAGAAACGCTTGCCGCCATCCTGATTGCTGCAAACGTCCAAGCAGAGTACGTCTTCTACTTCTCTCACGTGCAGCCCCCGCCAAAACCCGGTATGGGGCTCTGGTCTGATGCAGGTGAGGTCACGCGCCTGAACTCCCTTATCTTCCAGAACTTGCTCGGAGGATTGGCCGGAGCCCGAATCATCCCCCGAAGGATCCTGCTACAGGCCGGTGCAAAGTACTATGGTGGCCATCTGGGCCCGATGAAAGTGCCGCAGGTAGAAACGGATCCTAGAGTAGATCTCGAACCGAACTTCTATTACTCTCAAGAAGATTCCCTGGTTGAGTACTGTGCTGGCGGTAGTGGGGAGAGGAGGACCAGGTGGAACATCATCTTACCCGGGCCCCTAGTAGGCGCTGCACCTAGGTCGGCGATGAATGTTGCCTTCCCGCTAGCAGTGTACGCCTCCATCTGCAGGAAATTAAACCAGTCACTTGAGTATCCATCCGACGTAGTGTCGTGGCAAATGCCACTAGCAATGTCAAGCGCAGGGCTTAATGCTCACATGGAAGAATGGGCGGTGTTAACGCCCGGCGCAGCGGACCAGCGGATCAACCAGTGTGACAACAGTACTTTCACCTGGGAAGGCTTCTGGCCTTGCCTGGCGGAGTGGTACGGAATCTCGTGGAAAGGGCCGGAGGAGGATGTAGAGTGGATCGAGTTCGAGATGCCATACCGGCCTCGTGGCTATGGGCCTAAGGGTGTCTTAAGGTGGAAGTTCACATTTGGATCGTGGAGTCAGCAGCCGCATGTGCAGCAAGCGTGGAGGGCACTCACGGACGAGCATGGCTTGATCAAAAGAGAGCTAAGTGATCTGTCCAAAGAGTTCGCTTTTCTAGATGGATGTGTTTCTCTGTACACAGCCCTGTTGCCAAGGTACGTTATCGCTCCTTTGAATCTCTGCCTCGTACTAATCATATTTTGTAGTATGAACAAAGCCCGGAAGCTTGGTTGGCATGGTTTTGTCGACACGTCAGACGCATTCTTCCAGGTATTTCGAGAGCTGTCAGCACTAAAAATGGTACCGCCGATGCCATTGCTAGGCCAAAAGTAACGTATAGATGGTCTTCGCGGCACCTGGAGCACTTAAATCAGGCCCGTTCTTCCTTTAGCTTTTTATATCTTCAAAATGAGGTTGGTGTCGGTGCCAAGCTAGTAAATCGGGCTCCAACTCGGGATTCTAAATATGCGGGTTTTTCGGTCTATACTAATTTAAATAGAAAGCTCAGGGGTAGGTATAGTAGGTCCTGTACAGGTCTGAATTATATCGATGAAAAATTTGTTTATGGCCCCTAGTTAAGGAGACAGAGAAAGATCAGAAGTGTGTTGTAGATGGCAGCCGAGTGTCAGGAAGAAACTAGAAGTATTGCGGCCGCATAAATAAGTTAAATGCCTCTAAGAACGTAAAAGCACACTGTTGAATTGGTTGAACCAATATTTGCAAGGGAGGGCAAGCATATTAAGATAGTGGTTGAGGGAAAATGGCAAGCCGCTGGGGACAAATGGCCCTTGTCTTCGAGGGTGACGTGGGGCGCCGTGGAACTACTGTGCTATATGACAAAATTCATGTATGTGGGCGACTAGTAGGGGGTCGATACAGGCCAGGCTACCGTGTACCATCTATAGAATATAGAGTATAGCTTGTATGCATTACGATTACGAAGAATAGCGTAGTGTTTCTCTATAGTAGATTAGGTATAGCCATCTGAAGAAGAGCCTGATCTTTGTCTCAGCGCGCCTCCAAACATATGACCATTGATTTGTAGCACGGTACGCTTCTGCAATTCGTCGGCTATCCGCCAAGTATAGAAGTCGGGCATAGCTGTGGGAAACATGGCTGAAACCGAACAGGAAAAAATTGAACCAAATCGAATCGAATCAGTCGGTGGGACTGTCGGTACTACCTGCTCCGTTTCGAATGTGACTAGGTTGTTGAAGATATTTCTACGTCAGCTGATTATAATTCTCCCTCGCCTAGACTGAGGTGCATATTGTGTTTGTTATGTTTTCCTGCTAAAGACCTAAAGCCCCTGTTTAGCACCTTCAAGCCCTGTTAGCAGGCAGAACGCGCTTGGATTACGCTTTTATATTGGTTACACTGACGCACTATACCGCGCTATCCATCTAAGCAGGTAGGGTTAGATCATTTAGTGATCCCCTGATTTTAGATATGGGCTGCAAGATAGAGGGAAACCCTGGTACCCCTTATTCTAGCATCTTAGATCATGATTTTGCTTGGACGCGGGGAATCAGAGTAAAAGGCTTCCAGCATGGTTCACGCGTGGAGCTTTCTGGGCTTGCACATGGCAGCTCTCCACGAATGTCCCTCTGGAGGTTTCATTCACACATAAGGATGATGTTTCTTGCTTTAGAATAAGGTGTTCGTTCTACTGAGGCTGGGTGAAGTGCCCTATAGGTGCATCAGGATGAACCTCGGTGATTTTCGTACCCTTAAATTCGTCCACGGGTTTTCTCAGGGATCTGAAACACCGTAAAGAGATTTTTGAATTCTTAGATAGTGTTTCCGGTTTGATTTAAGGGGTAAGGAGGATACACAGTTGAGCAAAAAGATATAAATCAAAGCAGTGTCCTGGTTCACAAAGTCTGGCAACCGAAGAATTTCTTAACGGCGTCCCCCTACTAGTGCCGTCCGTCTACCTCATAATTTATGCCAGACTTGCAATACCGAAGAACGATAAAGCGGAAACCCATCGCGAATATAACGATATTCTTCCGTGTCTTGAGATGCAACGTGACCATAAGTCTTGCATGCTTGCAGAGGCATCATCCAATGTGAGGTTAGAGAAAGATACTGCCGCTGGCCTCGAGAGGGACCGGGATACTGTAAGTGTGGGAGATAGCTAATCGAAATCAGTGACTGATATCTAGTATCTTGTTCTTAGGATGGATGGAGTATATTGGACCTGCAGCACCCTCTACAATGGTCTTATCGAAAGAAATGGACTACCACTTCTATCGTTGCCGGGTTTACCTTCATTTCTACTTCATCATCGTCCATGATGGCCCCTGCAATACCTGAAATTTCGCGAGATGTGGGCGCAACTAAGAGTGCGGAGCAACAACTCATCCTCTCTGCTTTCGTCATCGCATATGCCGCAGGGCCCCTGTTTCTTGCACCCTTGAGCGAAGTATATGGTCGATCTATAATCCTTCATATTACAGCGTGGTTTTACCTCACCTGGAACCTCTGCTGTGGGTTTGCGAGCACGCCCAGTCAGATGGTTGTTTTCCGATTGCTTGCTGGCCTTGGAGCAAGTGCGCCGCTTTCGATTGGTGGCGGTGTCCTAAGCGACATCTGGGTAGCGGAGGAGCGCGGTAAAGCAATGGGAATATACAGTATGATGCCTCTATTGGGTCCGGTATGCGTCGAGGAAATTCTAGTTTTGATCAAAGAAGCTTACTATAGACAGGCTCTCGGTCCCTTTATCGGCGGATTTGTAACGCAGTATGCGAACTGGAGATGGATTTTCTGGGGTAAATCAATATTCGACGCTGTTATCCAAGTTACTGCATTGGTTTCCTTACACGAAACATACCCGCCAGCTATACTCAAACGCACAGCGCGGAAGGAGCAGCAGAGCGAGGCTAAATTTCCTAATGAATCACACCAAAGCCCGGGCCAATCCATTACTCAAGTGCTCAGAACGGCATTAGCTCGGCCGTTGCGTCTTCTGGGAACAGAGGTAATTGTGCAAGTCCTTTCTATATACCTAGCTTTCCTTTTCGGAACGCAATATCTCATGCTGGTAAGACGTCCACCCACATCTAACGCTAGGTGTCTACTAATCGTGCCTACCAGTCAACTTTTACAACACTCTGGACAAAAAAATACAATCAGTCTATGGCGAAGTCAGGTTTACATTTCTTGGCTCTCGGTCTAGGCTATTTGTTTGGGGCCCAATGCTGCGCTTTCGTCAGTGACAAGATCTACGTTCGGATGAAGATGCGAAACAACTCGGCAGGCCGGCCTGAGTTTCGCGTCCCTATGATGGCACCGGGAGCTTTATTAGTCCCTGTCGGCCTCTTCCTTTATGGCTGGTCTGCTCAAGCGCACTTTCACTGGATCGTTCCCGATATTGGGGCCTTTATTTTTGGAGCTGGTTGCATCTTTGGAACGCAAACTATCCAGGTCTATCTAGTGGATACTTACTCTCGCTACGCTGCATCAGGTATGATAAAAAAGTGTGAACTGAAAGAGACAGATGCTGACATGTATCATAGCTCTTGCTGCCGCAAGTGTTCTTCGGTTCGTAGCTGGGTTTGTATTCCCTTTGTTTGCTCCAGACTTGTTCAGAGCCCTTGAATATGGCTGGGGAAATAGTCTACTTGGGGGCATAGCAATTGCATTTGGCATTCCAGGTCCATTACTTGTATGGAAGTATGGAGAAAAGCTACGGTCCTTAAGTCGTTTTGCTGCGAACTGAACATTGATAGAGGAGGAGTACTACGACAGTCACCGTTATGCAAAAGTGGCTTGTCAAAACGATTATTGCGGGAAAGGGGACTGTTTCAATTGATACAGAGCTACGGGACTCCAGAAAGAAGCTTAAGAAGCTCATAACATCGCCAACGCTGTGTGACGGTCCAAGAAGCGATGTAAGCCTATAGCCACCTGCTAAGAAAGCTTCAGCCAGCACAACAATCTATGTATTTTTGCTATCCTCTAGCTCCGTCTAGATGGAAGCGTACGCTGTCATTTTAGTGTGCTTCATGCCTCTGCAATGTCTTGGACCCAGGTAATGCATGTGACGCTTTTAGCACGAGCTCAGCCACCAGCTGCAGGTAAGCGGTGAGTACCACGATTCTCTGTGCATTTCTGCCTTGCATAGAGCTAACCACAAAGTGTTATGGACATGTAAAACAATATCGCGATCGTGGCCCATGGACCACCATGAGCCACGGCTGTGCAGGGTCTGAAGATATGAGGCAAAAGTGCAAGCTTCCGTTGACACAATCCGATTTTTACACTAAGCAAAAAAATAAGCTTGTTACATGAGACTTTATTCTAAATATACTGAATCACACAACGAATGCAAATCGCCCGGCAACCACGCATTCTGCCACATATCGCCCACTTGTCCTGAGGTACCAGAGGTGAACTATTAGACAGGTAGATTGCTAAGCATTACCGACAACAGCGCTTCTAATTGCGGGTTTTTTCGACGGATCCTACCAAGCAAGGCCGCAAGCTGTTTACACAAATCATCCAAGATCTGCCTCGTGTAGGCAAAACTGCCCGCTTTCTCAAGACGACTGACCACATGTCTTTTCACCATGTCGTCAGTTGTCCTTGTCGTTAGTATACGAATGATCTCGCCCTTGATGCCGTTCTCGTTGTCGGTATCAATCGTACCTTTGCTCCATATGGCGTGGAGAAGGGGGAAAGAAAATTTCCCTTCTGTGAGATCTTCACAGAAACAGCCTTTCGACTCGGTCATCTGTTTTGATTGTTAAGCTAGGAAAAACAAAAAATAGAAGCGATGGCCCAACGAAAGGAAAATTAGAAGCATGTGGAAGGAAGAAATCTTACAGCAGTCTCCTTCATATTTTTATAATCATCCACAATCTGATAAATGACCCCAAAAAGATCCACCACCTGGTCAAGTAGAAGCAAAGCTTGCTCATCAGGACGATACCAACTGCGACCATTGGAGACATCGTCAGCGTCGATTTCATAGTCGCCGTCATCAAGACTAACAGCACGTGCGGGAACACAGCACTTCATTAGCCGAAGAGCCAGCCGAAACAGTCCCCCTGTCTTGTGATGAACCATCTGCAGGTACTCGGCTTCAGTGGGTGGCTGCAGCGTATCGCGCCAGTAGAGCTCCATGCCTTGCCCTCTGTGCAGATTGAGGAGTTCTTCGTTGAAGACACGGGATGCCTGTGTCCAGCACTCGCTGTATCCGCCGACATTTTCATATTCTTCTGGTCCTCGCAATTTCCGAAGCTCATGTTCTGCAGCGAAATAAATGTAATTTGCGGCGTTGATGGTTTGGGCGACCCCGTAGACGTGGTGACTTGCCAGGGAGCCGCGGCGGAATTTCGATTCGTCTTGGATGTCGTCAATTCTGCTTTGTTCATTTCAATTAATCCTTCTGGCTTCTTTGTCCTCACACCCTCGCACGGGCCACCGAATTTCTTTTCCTCCTAGGGACGAGGATAGCGCTGACAGCAATCAAGCAATTGGCATGACACAGGTGTAACGCGGAGGATCTGCACCGACTTCACATTTTGCCGCACGGATTGCTTTATTGTTGACAACTCTGCTCAGAGGCAGAATGTAGTAGATGAATACAGAGGATACGAACGGCTTGGCGACTTACAATAATGAGCTATTGTGTAGCAACTCGATAACGTGACTTATCGTATCAAACGATTCTTGGTCGATTCCGAGCCACACGTTTAGGGCCGACATGAACTTGCGCCGGAAGTTCTTGCCGCTTTTAGAGGCTACGTAGTTGTAAGGCTTTGTTATCACCTTTATATCTCGTGTAAATATCAGTCGCGAAAAGTATGGCAAAGTGCGTAGATTCCAAGGGGAGACACTGCTTTGGTATACGTAGGCGTTGTAGTGGGTGACAAAAACGTACCTTTTCATCTTCTTCCCTCCAATGCTTTAGTGACTCTAGATCGATATGCAATGGTGGCGAGCATGCATGTTCAACAGCCGCTTCCTCGGATTCGTCGTATTGCTGAAGAAGCATGCCTGTTCCAAGCTCGGTCGGCTTTTGAGGGCCGTCGTCACCGCTTTCAGCGCAATAAATCGATGAGAGCGTATCGTTGGTGCATCGTGGAGTCCTCGGAGCATCGCTGCTATCATTGGAATCGCTGTCGGAGAGCGATGAGAGTACTGAGACTCTAGGGCCCGGCCAAGAAATCTTTTCCATGTTGCGATGGGGGGCGACGGAAGCTGCAGAGAGATTACTGTAGTGTCTCTATGCTTACTTGTATGAAAGCAGGAGCTTATGTGTGAGAACGAAAGTGTCTGTAGTGTCTGCAGCGCCTGTAGTCTCTACTTGTGGATGTTTTTCTCTGCTTTCTTGTTACAATTCTTCCTATTTCTGCTGTTCCGTGGTGTTTTAATGTTCTCTGATTAGGGCTAAGTGAGTTTGTAAGATACGCTCAAAGCGGTTGGGTCCTATATTACGGAGATCTGGTCACATGGCGAGTGAGGAATAGGATCAAATGGAATCACCGAGATCTTCCCGACGAAGATTGCTCGCTGACCAGCGGCCAGACCCCGGTGACTGGACAAGGAAGGATGACCCAGTATTATCGGCGAGCATTGAGCGCGAGAGAGACGAATGGTAGAGACGCTAGGCGCTGCGAATCGGCCCGCGAACCTTCGGCACCGGAACCGACGCTAGTAAGTACCGTGTGCAAGGATTGAATCAAGGTTAGAGGCAGTAACTTGTTCTATACCTATGCCCTCTTACCTTCATACAGATGCTAATGGGGGGTCAGATGAGTTCCTTCTGGATCTGTTCTGTCCACTTCCACAACATTAAGACGACACGATTTCCCCAATATGGTGTGTACGACTCTTGATAATAACCAGCGATTACTGCCGCTTGTTTGTAACGACAAGAACATTGCCGGGAGAACAAGCATTACCATCGCAGCTGCTCTGTTCATATTCCTGACTTAGATAGTGGCCGTGAGAATTTATGTTGTAGCAGCCGCTTACCGCGAATGGGTATGCTCTTGCTGTAAATGAATAAGAATGTTGGTGTAGATCCTTAAACCACATGAGAACAAGGCTCGACCACCACAGTGCTACCCTGCTACTGGAAAGCGTATGTATCGGTGCCCCTTCTTGGCCTCTCATAGACGCATGTTGTTTGCGGGCTGCCATATCGATCGCTTTGGTACTTAGACGGTTGTCAAAAGATGCAGAGGGAAGAAAGCCGGCCCAACTAGTCAAAAGCTGGGCCTGAGTAGACACAGTCGGTTTCGGCCGAATCTAAATCGATCGAGAAAAGTGTGTGTGTGTGTGTGTCCAGGGCATGGCGGCGGATGTGGTGACCACTCAGTTGTCTTCCGGAACGGATGACACCATTGTTCGCATTGATATCGACAATTGTGTGCGGCTGCACAGCCTCCGGAAGCAGCTTGGTGGCGATATTACCCAAGCGGTTCGCATTGGAAAGAGAATCGTAGCACACAAGGTAGCCACGACCTTTGCTGACTATCTCGTTCTTGCAATATTTGCAAGGCTTGCCCGTGGCGCACTTTGACTACGATCGTGTGTGTGCAAGGTGACCGCTGCGAGAACATTATTGCCTACGTACCTGTGCCTGCAAGAGTGACAAATCCACTGAAGCTTGACTGCGAAGACATATTCATCTCTCTGTCGCCTACTGAGGGCATCCTGGTAGCCATCACCTCGTTGCTGCTAGAAGACTGAGGTATGACCCGCAGGCCGTGCGTGCGCTTCCCGACCCTAGAGCGCGCCGTCGATGCCCGGGCCTGAGTGCCATAGTGTCATGCGGCGGATTCAATGATATGAGCGTCATAAAACCATCTGGCAATGAATGTGCTGCACTGATAAAAAAGCCACCGCCATCAATTGGGTTGACGGGCGTGGCAAGTGTATTATCGCTTAAGCTAGCATCACAGCCGACGTGCTAAAGCAAATATCGAATATGGACGCCGAAAGCATTGTCGCGCTGAGCCCGAGTACGAATATAATTGGTAGCAGCCTCGCAGGAACCATGGTTGGCTTCAATGCTCAAGCCGCAAACATTGTCACCGCCATCTTCCTCGCCACTGGCCAGGACATCGTTGAGACAGTGGTGAGCATCAATTTCATAGCTACGATGCAGAAGTGCGGAAAAACCCTTCTCGTCAGTCTCACTGTGCCATCCATAGAGGTTGGAACCGTGGGAAGGGCAATGCGCTTCAGGCGCAGAGTGCCGCCCGAACCACAACCTTGTTTCTGACGCTTGGTGAATCCACAACACTCATACAATAATGGACTTCCGTGAGTTTACAATACAATCTGTTATCTGCGATCTCAAGTCTGATGCTTCCAAAAGCGTCCGAGCTACCAGCCAAGCCTAGGGCATGGCATAATGAACTCTGCATAGTGGCGTTGTGGGTGTGCAACGACGATCAGGTAATATCCATACTTTATAAATGATTTCACATAATCGGCCTTGTGTAAATGGAGCAAGCCAGAGTTTTTATTGGAAATCTCTTCCTCTTCTTGTAAAAAATCCACTTTATCCAAGTCGCACTTGACATCGTTCATGCCCATGTACTTTCAGACTTGGGAAGGCCTCCAGCATACTGTATGGCCACCAACCCTTAATATTAAAATATTCACTAGGGTAGGCCCAACCGGCGAGCTTTGATGGGCTGTACACCGGAACCGTGCGCTTAGGTCCATAACCGGATTTTGTGGCTAACACTCCTGGTATCTAAGACTTTTGCTTCGAATGGCCCCTTACCACTCTTGTTATAATTTTTCGATTTGATACGAGAGGTAATATAAAGCCCAAATAACACATGGCCAACTTCGCACCTAGAAATCATATCTTGAATTGTTGCGGCACTGCACTTTCAAGCGTGAAGTCGCAATTTTCGGGGGTACAAATGACGGCACCCATTTCTAGAATCAGTGATGAAAATAGGACATCTGCAGTCTGGAACCTTGCGCAGCAAAGCACCTAATACACTTAATATCGGGCCTTCTAAACAGAGGTAAACAAAGTGTGGACAGTTGTTCTGTCCGAGATCCGCCTCGGGAGGATCTGAAGGAATTGAAGTCCCGATGAATCCGTGTATAGAGCTTTTTCGTCTTGATTTGCAACATGCATCGCGCTTGATAAAGATCGTTTGGCCTTTATCTAAGAATATCACACGTAGCATTTAGCGAGATTTTCTTACAGATATAACGATGGAATACAACTACGAGCATATCCCAGAGACAAAAGAAGACTGTATGCAACTACCCTTTTTTATCTTAGGGCTATACTCATATGACCATAGTGGACTGGGCCGAATTGATAACTCTAGATCTCAACCTCTTCGATAGCCCTGAGGGTAAGAAGGAGCTTGTTGAACAGCTCCGCTACGCTGCACAGCATGTCGGCTTCTTCTACGTAACCAACTTCGGCATCTCGGAAGAAGACGTCGACCGGCAATTCGCACTAGCAAAACGATTCTATCAACTGCCCCTAGAAGAAAAGCTCAAATATCACAACTCCCAGGAGATGAGAAGCGGTCATTTTAACGGATATAGGCCTGCTGAATTGCGCAACCTGCTGCCCGACGGGTCTATCAAAGACAACTTCCAGGTATACAACATTCCCAAATTTGATGGCTACCATGCAAGACCCCAGCCGCAAGTTCTGCAGGATGAAATTGCACAAATTGAGGATTTTCAGCGCCAATGCCACACGAAAGTCATCACCAAGTTATTCAAGCTACTGGCCATCCTTCTAGAGCTCCCAGATGAAGATCAGCTCCTGAAAATGCACGGATACGACAACAAAGGTGAGGATCACCTCCGGTACATGTTCTATAAGGCGCGCACGGCCGAAGAGAACAAAACTGTAGGTGGCTTATACGCAGCTGGCCACACCGATCTAGGTAGCTTGACGCTATGATTTCGCCAGCCTGTTGCAGCTCTACAGATTCGGAACAGCCTTGGAGAATGGAAATGGGTTAAACCGCAGGACAGAGCTTGTACAGTTAACATTTCGGATGCTCTCTCTTCACTCACAGGCGGGTATCTGAAGAGCACGATCCACCGTGTACATGCGCCCCCAGCCGACCAAGCGCACATTGACCGCATCGGCGTGTTGTACTTCAACCGGTGGGCCATATGACGAATCCAAGACATCACTTCACAACTAACAGCATCCCAGCCCTAACAACAACGTTATTCTCGACCCTATAACCACTAGTCCACTTCTTGCGCGCCTTAACATGACTGAAAACGAGTTCACACGACTAGGCTACCACCTAACAATGGAAGAGTAGTGCCAGGTTCGCCAGGCGCAGCAGCAGCGATGGGAGTCGACACCGAAAATTAGTACTGAGGGGAAGTACGAGTATGACCAAAAGCATCTGGAGATTCTTCCAGGTATGCATGCCAAGATATTCAACTAGTAAAGATGGTTGAGCGCTAGACAGAGGACTGTGGTGTTAGAGGCGGTTATGCTATAGGTCAGATTGGTGAATTCACAAAATAAACGTGTTAGTTTGTTTCCTATGCGAATTGATCACGCTAGTAGAATGGAGTCTCCGAGAAGATGCGCGCGTCTCCCTCACCACGCCAAATCAGAGTCGTTAACAGTTAATTGGATCAGTGGATTGATTCGCGAACGTGCTGCATCACGCTTGGTGACACTGTCCACGTACCTATCTCTGGCACGTTCGCGAATCAATCTGCCGATCAAATCGATTGCTAGCAACTCTGCTCCAAATTCTTGGTATTAATGGCGACAACCAACCTACTAGCAAGCACTGATTATACTGCTTCATTAAGCGCCAGTCTTGGATTGCCTTCGTAACCGGTAGCCAGCCTGAGGCTTAAAGAGCTGAGGCAGCTACACTAGAACAACTATTTGCTTTCATGCAAAAGAGAGTTGGTATAATTAAAGCTCATCTCACTAAATATCACCACTGCTCTGGATTTGCATGATAAGTAAAGCCCCTCGGCTCCGGCACGGTACCGAATGATCCGATGGAATGCGCGGCGAACAAGATCCTGGATCAAACTGTTTGTAACAGCGTCAATTTTCCGATCAATAGGATTATACTGTCGGTACGATGCACTTTGGCTGATACTCATGCCGAAGGGACTTCCATCTAGATTGTCGTGAGAAAAGTACAAAGAACCAGTCTACAAAAGCATGGGAGTCTTTGATTGATTAAGATACCTTTTTACCTTCCAATTCTCCAGTTCATAATTAGTACTAAGCGTTACTTCAGAAAAAGAAAAAAAGAAAAAAACTATATGACGGATAGCGAAATGAGTGTCTTTCAAGTCCCGAAGGAGGGCAAGGCGGGTGTAGTCGTGAACGAGGGCCCAGATTTTCGCGTCGAGGTGCAGATGGTACCTGTCCCTGGAATTAGTAAGTGATCCACTAGTTTCCTCACAAATCAGCAGGACTTGGAAGGAGATGGGAATGCTAATGGATGTATCACAGAACCTCATGAAGTCCTCATCAAACTCAACGTGACGGGAATTTGTCACTCGGATATCCATTATATGCGCAACGATTGGGCTTCCCCAAAGATGTCGGAGTTTGGTACGATATGTGCGGGACACGAGGGTGCAGGCATTATCGTAAAGGTTGGACATGCAGTCACGACGCTGAAGCCTGGCATGCGCGCTGGCTACAAGGTATTGAGTCCATTCCCAAGATAGAAGCTCGTCGCTAACCCTTCATCTTGGCAGCCAATTCAAGCTACTTGCGGCGAATGTAGACATTGTCAAACCAATGAAGATTGTTATTGTGCGAATGCAGTCTTCACCGGTCTAATGATCGACGGCTCGTACAAGCAATACGTCGTGTCTCCTGAGCGTTACACCACCATTATCCCCGATGGTGTGGATGCCTTCATTGCAGCCCCTATCATGTGCTCTGCATCTACAATGTACACTTCAATCAAGACCTCTGGCCTCCAGCCAGGCGACTGGGCTGTTTTTCCCGGTGGAGGCGGCGGCCTCGGCATGCAAGGAATTCAGCTCGCCAAAGCAATGGGCCTGCGATCTGTTGCCATTGACACTGGTGAGAACAAGAGAAGGCTTTGCTTAGAAAATGCAGGCGCAGATGCCTTTATCGACTTTAGATTGACATCCAACGTCACAGATGAGGTGATTCAGATCTGTGATGGTATCGGCGCCCATGCAGTTTTCGTTACCGCCGTGCAAACGTACCCTTCTTCCATCCCCATGCTTGGCGGCCGAGTAGGTGGCCGCGTCATGTGCATCGGCTTGCCACCAGCGGGCACACAGCTTATTCATGTAGATCCAAGTCAGATGTGCTACAAGAAGCAGGCTGTTCAAGGCACGCTAGTAAGCTCTATGGCAGATGTGGACAAAACTTTAGATCTTGCAGAGAGAGGGCTATTGAAACCGATATATACGGTGTACCCATTCAGCAAATTCAACGAGGTGGTGCAAAAACTTAGCAAGGGTGAGATTGCGGGACGAGCTGTTGTGGATTTCAATACTGAGTAAGGCAACGGGCACGACGAATCCCACTTCTCGTGCTTCGGTAGAGCGGAACTCAGCGAAGGGGAAAATAGCGCGGCATCGAAAGTATGATGTGGGCGGCGAAGATGCATGCTGAGGCTCAACAGATGCGTTCTGAAGTTTAGTTACTACATTCTGGGTGTCATCTTGCGCCAACCTCTCACTGTGGAAAGTTTCCATATCTCCAAAATGATAGTTCCGGCCTATGATTGAAGTACAAGAAGGGAAATGCCCTTCTGTAGCAAGAGCCATTTTCTGTGCTTCGACCAGCTCTACTGATCGCCTCTCTGTCCCGTTTCTACTCAAAATTACTTGCTGCAAACAGTTTATTCCATTAACATGGAATAAACATTGCTGCCTTCGTCGCAACCGTATTCTATTTATTGTACCCAATGAAATTATGCCTAATGGGCATATACCCGTGGATAGGCTTTTGGTAGTACTACTAGATCATTTTCACTTTGACTACGAAGATAGTATTTCTAACATCCGATTGTGGCAGGTTGCGGTGCGGCCTACTATTCTTTTCTAGAAGAATTGATCTGATACGTTACATAGCAAACGGGTGGAAAAAAAAGTCAAAGAATGGAATAAGTTGTGACCCTCGACTCTCGATGTCTGCGAGAAGCTCCTGCAATGGAAGCAGGCGGCGACAGGCGAGGAGACTAAGAAAGGGTGTCCGGCGCGCTGTTATCTCTGCTTCTACTGGCGCAATGAATTCTGCTGCCTAATATGCTGGATCGCTAGTTGAGTCAAAATATCATGAATTCCAGAAGGCAGGGACGGCATCGCTTCTAGTCCAGGCTCAAACTTGACATTTTGCTTGGAGGAAACAAGATCATTTCTCCTTGTTATGTTGGCTCTTTACCAACTGTTAAATACGCTTAATGACGTGCAGCAAGTCGCCTCTGGAGGTTGTAAGGAAGTCTTTCAGTACTTTGTGCATTCTTTCAACCGGCGAGCTTATGATTGTGTTGAAGTGGGGATAATAGGAGGTCCAAGCAGCTGCTCGCTCGGTACGTGTAAGGTACCAATTATTTTGCAAGCATGTGCACAGCTCTGCTGATGGCTGTGCTGTGGTGAATAAGAAAAAAGAATCCGCACCCGCGTAATGTAAAGATATTCAGTCCATCGCAAAGACGCGTGGCATGGGCATATTGTCGCACCAATGAATTGCGCCCCAAACAAAAGTGGAAGAGTAACTTTCCCTACAATTGGCACAGGGGACAAAGGTCCACAGCTTAGTTTTTTTTTGTGCGAGCACTTGTAGTGTGGAGGCAGCGTAGCCAGTGGATGGAACGGATCGTCGATTCAATCCAATAAAAGTTCAGTATCACTCAGCTTGCTTTTGCTAAGATAGTACTAGTTAGATTGCATAGCCCTGCGCTGTGTGGCGTTGGATTGGACTGACGATCCATCCCTTCCACTGGCCACACTATGTGGAAAACCGTGCATCTTGTGCTAGCGCGCATCTTGTACGGACCATAAGGGACCGAGAGCATGCCATGAAGAGAGTTTATTGTTCTTGCCGAGGTATCAGAAGATGTAGCTATATAGGGAAAATATAGAGTTAGACTAGAGAAGGACACAGTGCCGAGGCGGGATGATGGGATCCATGCCTTGGGCCTCTCATCCTCACACATCTGGTGATCACTTACGTTGCTGTCACCAAAAAATCAACTTCATTCTTCACTCTCTGATTTCAGATGTTTCGGGACTTTTACTACGCTAACGACGTACTCAACGCGTTGGTTGCTGGTAAGGGCCCATCCTGGGTACGCAGCTCGCCCTGCAGTGTGATACTATCTTCGTCGAGGTAAACTTGCGAATGAGAGTATAGCTGCAGCAAAAATTGCAGTACACTGCAAAGATTAGATACTTGTCCCATCGCTGACTTGGAGTCATACATACTGCATTGCAGAAGAAAACAAGATACGAAATTCCGGACTTCGAAAGAGCCGAAAAGATCATTCCAAATATAGATACTGAATTAGATTAGACAATACTGTTTGGATGTATGCGGGATGTGAGTTTCTGTGGACTTACTTGAAGCTATCTTTGCCATAATGTCTACAATAGAAATAGCATTAAGCGCTTCCATTCTTTGTGTTTCATCATACATTCTGACAATCACTCCTCTGGCTGCAGGTGCTGTTCCTGATGCTAATGGAATCAAAGAGGCAACTAAGATCTGATTAGCTGGCTCGGGTATGTAGATTGTAGAACATTCTACCTGCATACATGTGCCACCCTTTCTTTGCAAACCCAGCAGATGCAGTCAAAATTCCATCTAATATCATACTGTATCTCAGAAAGTAGAGATCAAAATTCACGTCGACTTCTGTTTGCGTTCGTGACTCCTGTTGTAACTGCCCAGTACTCTCTCCGATAAGTGGGCTTGTTTCGGAGGGTACTACTGCTGGGGAATCGCTTGGGAATCGTTTAATGAGGTTCTCGTTTCTCTGAAAAGATGTTGACAGCCATTTTCGGCCATTAGAGATGACAGATGGGAACGCGAAAATAAGGAACGTTCCTCGAATGGCTGCGTAAAACGACGTCAAGTATCCGTTCTGTCGATAATTTAGAATCGCCTACACGAGAGTAGCAGGTAGTAGTACCTCAATCATTCTGAAACCAAATGAATTCGTTGCATGCATCTGCATCAGGGTCGGAATATATCCGTTTGCCACCTACAAGAGTCAGTGATATACCAATGTTTGGGTCATGACCAAACTGACAACACCACAGAACACTCCCAATCCAAGCAATGTTGCTCCCCAATATCTCTTCTCCACGCCTCCAACTTCGGCTCTTGGTGGTAAGAACATACGAATTGGACCAAAGAAACTGGATTGTTTCCCCCTAGCCTCTTCTCTTTCCTGGCGGATAGATACGTATGGCAGCGCAAACCTTGCGAACAAAGTTGCGCTAGCCATCAGAACAAATGCTACCTGGAAAGGTGTTTTTGTCGTGAAAGTGTTTCCTATCACTCCTCCCATGAGATATCCGCAAGCGGTCCCAAATTGAATACAGCCTTGCAGTTTACCGAATATAGCAGTGTACTCTTCGGGCTCGACAAGGTGACTAGCATACATATTCATCACAAGCTGGTATCCCGCTGGACCGCCAAATACTGTAAGAATCTGTGTGGCTTGGTAGAGCATGACCCCAGTCTCCGCTCCGATATTGAGGGCATATATTTGGAGAACAAAGCGGATCGAGGATACGAATGTCTGCAAGCAGAACAAGTTTCTGATGCACATATTGTTGATACCCCATTTACTAATGTTCAGCAAGTTGATTGTACTAAACATGACAGTGAAGACGCCAGCAATCATGACCTGTTACATTTCCGATTCAATTAGAATGGGCGTTTTCAGTTGGACATTGAGCCTTACTTGTTTCGCTGTTTCCGCCTGAATCACCTGTGCATTGCACCCAACCCGTACACTTTCGTCATACTCTTCGCAAACCATAAGACGAAACGCCATGAGCATAGGTACCTGGGTAAGGATGAATGAAAGGGATATTAAAAAAACGCACGATAGTAATTTGAACACGTTCCATCTTGTCTTAACTGAAGAATTTGAGAGCTTGTGACTAAGCAGCGCCGTTTCTTCTCTAGTCATGATGATTTAGAATCTAGTGTTTCAGGGAAGGATGATAGAAGAGGCAACATAGGTGATCGCCAATTTTCTCTCTTAAACTTTAACTGTCGCCCGGCACTGCTCGGATCCAACGTGAACCGAAGATCTTTACCACCGACTCCTTCGGGGTAGGACTCGATCTATGTCTCGGTCGAGTGTTTTGCCCAATTAGATGTTGCGCTATCTTGTTTAAATCTTAGTCTCTTTCATCTTCTTTTCATGTGCTTTTACGTCTAGGTACTGGTTTCGGGGCTGGCGTTGTCAATATACCCAATTGCCACTGGTCGACTAGAAAGTACACCAGTTCACACGACTGACTACAGCTTGATGAAGTATATCTTCCTCCACGAACCGAGGATGCTTATAATCTTTGCAGTTACATTGTTTGGTCTAACGCTGCTGGTGGCTTATCTCCGACCCTCCAATGGGCTACCGAAAATCCCCCTCTTTGGTCTCGAAATTGGAAACAAGGCTGCGAGAGAGTATGAATACTTGAACAATGCGCGAAACATTTATCGCGAAGCCTACCAAAAATTTCGCGACAGCGCCTATCGTGTCACCACAACTGAGGGCGAACAAGTGGTGCTTCCACATCGTTTGCTCGAGGAACTGCGTTCGAAGTCAGATGAGTATTTGAGTGGCCGCAAAGCTCTTGGGATCCTTTTGGAAAAGAAGCACTCGGGACTCCCATCCGAGTCAGATCTGCTCGATCACATTGTCCGCGCGGATCTCACCCCAGGACTGACGAGGATTAACAACAAGCTTTCTAAGGAGATCGAAGACGCGGTCGCGACAGAGATACCGTGCTGCGACGACTGGATCGCTGTAAATATCAACCAAAAACTCCTACGGATTGTTGCCATTGCATCCGGGTGCATTTTTATAGGGCCGGAACTATGCCGAGACGAACGCTAGATCCAATCGAGTATCAACTATACTGTAGACCTGTTTGTGGCCATCCGAGCGCTCAAGAAGTGGCCAAAGCCTATTCGTTGGATTGGAGCATATTTCACTCCGAGTTTGAAATTGATCCAGGAGCACCGGAAAAAGGCAATTGAGTTCCTCGGTCCAGTCATACAGAGGAGAAAAGAGGTCATGGCTGGTGGAGGAAAGATACCAGACGACGTCTTGCAATGGACTATAAACAAGGCAGCAAAATTCAATCGTGACACTACAGAAGACATCGCGTACACGCAATTAACTCTAAGCCTGGCTGCTATACATTCGACAAGTTCGGCGCTGACTGGCATGTAAGATATCCCTAAATCACCCCCTCATTCTTCTTAGTGCTGACTTGTAAAAACTAGCATATACGATCTTGTTGCCATGCCTGATATCCATGATGCGCTCCGAGACGAAATTCAAGCCGCCCTGGAAGCAAATGGTGGCGTACTGAGCCCACAGGCTCTCTACTCAATGAAATTGATGGACAGTTTCATAAAAGAATCGATGCGATTAAACCCCGCCAGTTTTGGTAGGTCAGTTGGTTATGTACGCAAAGCTTGATGCTGACTTTAGCATTAGTTCGATTCGTGCGTCAAGTAGGCAAGCCTTTTGTGATGTCTGACGGCACTCATCTTCCATCTAAAACGATCATTTCCGTAGCCAACGAAGCTATCTCCCAGGACCCTTCAATTTTCCCCAGCCCAGGAACCTTTGACCCCTATAGATACTATAACCAGCGCAAAATTGGTTCAGAACATGTGAACCGACATCAAGCAGTCACTGTGACCAGCACTAGTCTCACCTTTGGGTACGGCAAACACGTCTGTCCCGGCAGATTTTTTGCTGTTCATGAGATGAAGTTAATACTCGCTAACCTCTTAATGCAATTTGATGTCAAGATGAATAAAGATGATACAGGCCGTATTCCCAACATTGACATCTCTTACAATGTTGGTATTTGATTGTTTGCTAGATATTGTGCTAACAGCTCCCAGACTATGCCTGATGTCACTAAAACTTTGTTAGTTAAGAGGCGAACCTTCTAATCAAGATTCCAGTTTACAAGGCAAAATCGAAAGATTTTAAGATTGTAATTGTAATTATAGGCGTATCAGATCAGTTGCTAATAGATGCGATAGTTTATGATGTGGTCTCTGTTCTTTTGTTACTTCTTCTCGTTTACGCGTTCTGTATCTTCATAATTGCACGCAAGCTTTATTACTATGCGGCTAAGCACTGCTCCAGAGGCATACGATTTGGGTATATATCTGTTGTGATACTGTTAATGACGCTGGTCAAATCATCACTAGCAATCGCATTAACAGTCCTAACCTACCTCTTTTTGAATGGTATCCCGAGGTAATTCTGCTTCTTTACCGATGTTAATAAGATCCCTATAGGAATAGAGGGATGTTCGCCGGGGTCCAGAATCAAATTCCGTTTTCTGGAATATTGTGGCTAAGGCATTAGTATCTCCGTGATATTCTTCAGCCCATTTCTGCTCAAAGTGCGCGATGTATTTGCGGTGATCAAGCACGAGAGCGGCAGTGTATACAGTGATATCCTAAGTTGAGCGGTAGAATTTAGAAAAAATGAGATATCTCACATCGATGGCTTGAATGCATTGGCTATGCGTGAAGACAAGTTTTTTAATCCCGTTCCATTCAATTTCCGAAACAGGTAATTTCCAATGCTCGAATATAAGAATCAATGCCGCATAATATTCTTACGGGTTGGAGACTGTTGGCACGATAAAGGTGTCACGGGGGTGAATCAACTTGCAGCTGCAATACTATGGTGAGGAAGCGGATTGATTGTCTTGTAGCTTCTATCGTGTCGAGTATCTACAGCTCCTACGCGCACGGGCCAATAGGCGGTGACAACGCCTCTGCCAGTGCCCGTGTCGACCAATCAGTGTCGCGGATCAGTAGGACTCAAAGTCGAGTCCTAATTGATTCCAACACTGACTATCTTTCTTTTTGTTGACTGCTGTTGATAATAGC